CGATGCCAGGAACCCCTAGTAGCGTCCTTGCTCCTAGTAGCGATGCCCTTTGTTCCTAGTAGCGTTGGGTATGTTGTATATTTATACATTATACAATTGACATGCCTGTTACCTCGCCTCCCAAAACTACGGAGTGCGCTTTGCCACGGACGGTTCAAACTTGTTGTTTTGCTGGTCTACTGTTTGTCCACATCTGTGTTGTTGTTGCACGAGTTGTTTTCTTTCTGTAAGGTGGTTGGTTTCGCTTTGAATGGTGACTTGGAGAGGAGGAACCTCGTTGTGACTTTGAGGGCTTCTTTGAAGAACAAATGTCAGGTGATTCTTGTCAGCTTTGAAGCCTTTGTGGTTGGAATCAGTGCCAATGCTGGTACCCTGGGTCATTTGGTCTAGAAGTCTCGTGCTCAGGAGTCAGTGATATAATGTTGAGACAGGGTTAATCAACCCACCCGATTAGTTGGGTCCGCCTCGGGGCCTCCAAGACTTAACCCCCCCCTATGAGTTTGGTCCACCGTTTTTGGTACCATTTTCTTTCAATACTAACTGCCTTTCTTGCCTTGGCGGCCACCCTCCACTTCCACCAATTAAGTAGCATGGTTGGACCAATCCCTCATCTGTACCTCTGACCTTGTTGACCTTCCATGTTGGGAGCTAACTCCAATGATTCACCAAACTCCAATAACTCAAAACTCCAACCACTGCACTCCTATATGCCTATATCATATCAGAATGATCCTGTTGCTCCTGCCTCATGGTCGGCTCATACCTCATGGTCGACCCATCTCTTCATAAGAATCTCATGGCTCTTGATCTGGCCACAGATCACCCCGAAGCACCTAGAGACCTAGAATCCCAAAACCACCCCAGAAAATCCTTTGCAAAATTCTTTGTAAAACCCTACCCCAAAAATCCTGTTTCAAGCTCCCAAAGGGGGCCCCCATAATCCCTCTATTCATGCCCACCCCAATTGATTTGGTCTTTCTCCGGCCTTGCTCAAAAATATGCAATCGTTTATGCATTGCCTAATCACACAATTGATCAATTCACCACCAAAAAACCTCCTCATGAAGAGATTTAGCCTTGGGGATCCTTCCTCATGAAGAGAATTAGTTATGGGATACTTCATTAGTCTTGGGGATCCTTCCTGATGAAAAGGTTTAGTCCTCATGCAGAGATTTAGTCTTTGGAGCCTCTCCTCAAGAAGAGATTTAGTCTTGGTGACCTCCCCTGATTGATCGCTCCCATTGAACCAGAATTGAACTGTTCTGACCCCCCAAATAACAAACCTTCTTGGGGAGGTTGATTAATCCAGTCTCGACATGACTGTAAATGGAAGGGTGGACCTGGTGCTGGGCTCCTCCAGGATTCCGGCTCTGGAAGCCTACAGATCCCTCAGGCGCGTGGTTTCGACCGGGTGCACAGCTGAAAGCGGCGAAGTGGGTTCGGGCGGTGAAAGGAGCCACCAGATTGAGCTGGGTCATGTTATTTCGTGGCGAACAGCAATAGCCCTGTGGCGAAGCATCCTGAATCATCCGGAACCCTGAAGACAGGACTTTGATGGCTAAGTTACAGTGTTTCCGAGCGCCTCGTTTGATTTGGATGCATGTCATGGATCAACTCCCAATTGTCTTTAATGGAGCGAGATACCAGGAGCGGCGTGATAGAGATCCAATGGATTTGTAGCACTCTCAGGGCGTCCCTAAGGCCGCTCCAGAGGCATGCTTTGGCAAGAGGCAGAATATGCATAGAATGAATGAACCAAAAGGGGTGGTGAAGTAAAACGCTTCTTAACCTCCTTTCAGAAGGCTGGTGAATTGCGCCACCCCGTGTTCAAAGGCCCGTTTCTTCGGTTTGGGTCGCCCGTTCTTCGTGACACTGGCAGGATCGACCCGACGTGACGAACAGAAGTTCTGTTCGGTCCAAGGAGCGGCACGGGCACCGTTCGACTCGTCCGGTGGGCATTGGCTCATCGGCAGCAGCGGTGGTTTTGAGGGTGTAAGGGTTTTGGAATGGTTTGGGTCTCCTGTTTGGGGTCCTTTCTTTTTCCAGAAGTCGTCAGAAGACATGAGTTTATAATAGTTATATAATGACATGTGGGATGATGCTCCTTGAATATATAGTTTGGTCGCTTGCAATGAATGATCGAGCTTTCATGAGTCATGAGATGGCATGAGCTTCCGTGTTCCAGGCGGATGTGGAAAGCTGTACCTTGTGAATCCTTTTGAGATCTTTTGGAGATGTAAGAGTCATGGCATGACAATGGCACGACATGTTCTTCTCAGCCCCCCTTGGATGAAAGCAGCCCCTTCTTTTCCACAAAATGGGTTCCAATACATGCAAAAGGATGCGACAGGTAAAGGTCGTTTACACGCATGTAGTAGAATCCATTTTACCGGGCCGCATGACGGAGCCTTTCGTCTGGATGCCAACACTGGTTCCGCCGTAGACGAGTCGTACGGGTGCGAAAGACCAGGACCTGGGTCGATTGGATTGGTGGACGAACCGTCGCTGGGGGTGCTCAAACCTGCCAACCTCGCCAGGACGCAGAAGCCTCGAGTCTAAGACGGGACTCTGCCAAAGACTACTTACAGGTGCGCGGGCCAACTTTGACGCAATTGGATCGTTTGCTCAACTGAATGAGCATTGAATCAGAAACTGGCTCAACCGATGCATTAGCGCTTTACCTCATTAGCCCTTTAGTGCAGAAACAACGTATTACAGTAGACAACTTTGGCCATACTTAGGTGTTCACAAAGACTCAAAAATGCAGGTACACATCAGGACGTCTCCCGATGCTTCGCCGGAGAATGTGGACGTCTTTGTTGGCAGTGATTCCACAAACTCTGTCACTGCCCCCTGCTTAAAACACTTGACCTCAAACCCTTGGGAACAGGGTGTGACACACACATGAAAGAAGTTCACAGGAGCTGGAAACAATCCAGCAAATTTGATTTATTTGGAGTTCCGGGCTCAGTAGATTTCTCAATTGGGGGCGGCGCTGGTGTTGGTTTAGACCGGTGTTCAGGGCGCTCCCGTCTTCAGTAGTTAATGCTGCACCCCCACAGAGTTGCTCCTGTTTGCTCCGACGACTGCACGGCGTTGATGGCAAGGCCGAGCAAATCATATTTCAAGACTGCTCCGTTTGCCCCTGATTTCAAAATGGAAGTTCAGTCTCGTTCTGCGCGACGTCTATTTTTTGCAAAGAAGCACTCTTTTCTCGTTCTGCGCGTTTGAGGTCCTGGCGTGTTTTGTTCCCCAGACGAAGAGGTCTCCAGGCACCAGGCTTCCAGAAACATTCAGAACCGTTGAACCAAACAATGCTAAGAATGGGAAAGAGGCTGCTGCGGTACAAAGTATGTGCCTTGTTGGGAGAACTGCCATGCTAAGATGACAAAGAAGTTAAAATTGACAGGACTCACAACTGGATGAATTCAAAGGCCCATTTGATCCATCAACAGCTATATAATATGCTATATAAATGCTATACACTATCAGCTACTACGGGGGGCGGTTGCGGTGCGGTCCACCGGGCGGCGCTATCTCCTGCCGCGCGGTTGAGGCGGCCAGGCAGCTGGCGTACACGGGTAGCCAACGAAGTCAGACGAGTCAACGGAGCCAGCGGAGCAGTCAGCCGTCCAAGAGGAGCTGGTCTTCCTCGCAATCCCTGGATGAAGCTGGCAAGGACCGAGGGGCGTTTTGAGGCGGAGAGGACACATCTGAAATTCAGGTGTTTCTTCAAGTGTTTTGACTAGATTAGGGCCAGGGATGGTGCTGGACATGTGGGGCATGAAGGAAAGACAGGATTTTGAAAAGACTAGACTTAGTGACTTAGTGTCTAGACTAGAGAATGATGGAACCAACAGACATTGCTGGGTTTTTCTTGTGAGTCAACTGGTTTGTGATTCTAGTTCCCACTCACTTAAGGGTACCAGTGATCCGTTGGCGTACTCTAGCAGAGAGATATTGTTTCATTCCTGAAGCCCAGATAGGAAGGTGCAGGTATTTCTCCACCATGAAACGGCAACGTTTAAGGCAACCTGTTTACTTTGAACAGCTCGCCGTGACCGTATCCACGAGCAGCGAAACCGCTGGTGGCCGACCTGCCGACCTGCACGGTGAGAAACGCCGAAACGGGGGCATTGGCATTGGTGGATTGAGAGCGCAAAGACATTGAGAGCGCAGAGATACACCTACTCGTTCAGCTCCGAAATCCCAATTGGTCCATCTCATGCCGAAAAACTCATGCAATTCAACTGCAATTGGTCCATCTCTCTCAGGGAGCTGATCCTCCACCGGCAAATACCCACAAATGGACCTTTGCTCTGCCACCGCACCGGTGTTTCGGTGACTTGAAGGGCTCAGGTCGGACGGTCGTGATGAAGATGGAGCACCCTCCCATGGGAGCCCGGTAGTACCGTAGTGATTTGCCCAAGTTTGGTGATGAGGTTTGGTCATGAAATGTAATGGACTGAAAGTCGAGAAGTGTCAATGAGGGTTCTGGGGTATCTCACTTTAGGTCCTCCTGAGCATCCGGGGACACCGCTTGATACTTGTATCTCTAAAACCAAGTATATACAAAGTTTGTCTTTAGAAGGTCCACTTTCCATGCAGGTGAATCCAGCATTGCAATTCCTATTCCCAGATCATCTGACAAGCATATGGGTGTGTGTTAAAATGTGAGAGAAGGAACATAGATCAAAACATAGTTGGGAGGTCCCCTATTACGATACAAAACCGATTGGTGTGTCTACTCACGGCCCGACCGGGGAGAGCAGCTCTGTGCGCGCGAAAAGGACAGCGGCAGGCGGTTGAGGACGACCGCCCGAAAGGAAAAGAAGGACAAACGCAGCAGCAAGGCCGCGTCATCTCAGTGGTGGCCGTTTTAGGAGGTCCCCAGTGTGTACTTTTAATATCTTTTAATTAATATGGAGATCCCCAACCAATGAGTTTCGATCTATGTTCCTTCTTCCAGGGGATCTTTGGGAGATCTCAGATCTCCCTATTTCAATATTACACTCATATAACTGGGATTTCTTGCTTTGGTTTTGACCTTCAGGGTCATGTGACGCCAGCGACTGAGGGGACAGACGAACAAATCGCCATGGGCCCCTCTCTCAGGCTCTATGGCTTGTTCCGGGAAGAACATGAATGAAACAGACACATCTTCACATGGTATAGTAGCTGTATAGATATATTATATATATAGATATATTATATATTATATAGTATACTATATAGTGTATGTCTACAATAGATATATTTTATAACTCCAGGTGTGTAGTATGACACATGTCATGTACTGGATCTGAGCGTGCAGCTCTTGGTGTATGATCCTGGAAGCTCAGGAGCAGACAGTCCGGACGAACACTAACAGTCACGCAGTCACGGTTACGAAACACATGTGAAGAAGGCTGCGCACGTTTTGGGACTCGGGTTGTTGCTTCCAAGCTACTATGATTCACACAACCTGAACAACTTTCTTTCTTCCTGCACTTGTCAGTCTCAGGAGTAAAAGATCATTGACCTGGTTTGTCCCGCACAGATACTTGATTTCAGCACCCTGTTTTCCATCGTTTGGCAATCCCTCGTCCATCCCTCACCACTCCGAGATCCCGCTGTCATCGACGGGTCATTTGCCTGGGCTAGCATCAACTCCGGTCCAAAGATGTCTAATGTGCATGCTTGCTGACTCGAAGAAGCACTGAAGATACGTAAATCCATCGGATGTGGGAAACGACTCCAACTTTTCGTGGACATGGAACCCCCTCTTCCCCGATAGAGCATCTTCAACTTCTGTGAGAAACCTGGCTGTAACCTGGCATAAGTCAGTGTGTTACTTACTCCAATTCGATTCATTGGAGCGCAACATGGCGGTTGATCCATCGCCCCCCTCACAGGCGCGGGATTCGCCGGGCTCGGGGCGGGACAGCCACTTCCTCAGCTTGGCGGATGCGTCGGAGGTGCCCGGGAATTCTGCGTTTGGGGGGCCACGCTCGGCGGAGGTGCTTGGTCCATGGAAAAGAATAAAATACCAAGAGTTTAAAGTTCAAAGGGGTGCCTATTGAAGGGTAGGGGTGCCCAATCATTGTCCACTCACTTAGGGACTAAAAACCCTTCCTTTGCAACTGCTGGTAGATACACTCTCCCAAACATACAGGAGGATTTGCAACTGGAGGGCTTGGAAGACGATGCTTTTCTGGTCACAAGAGATGTGGGCGTAGAGAATTGGAAGACCAATGTCAGCCAATGTCAACTAATGGATCGAAGGACAAGGAGTCTTAGAGAGGTCAGAAACCAAAGTGATAGACCTTCATCCAGATAGTCCTGTTGCAACCAGTAATTGTATATAGTGATAACATGTGATAACACAAGAAAACAAACGCAAACAACATAGCTCAGGGTTGACCTCACACAAGAAGCGCTTGAACATGATTCCACAGTTGCTGTTCCTTCTCCTTTTGCCACCTGCGGCCTTGCATCTCAACTGCTACGTTACTACTAGTAACAAGTGCCACGCTAGTAGTAACAGGTGCCTTACTACTAGTAACAAAGAAGCTATTAGAATTAAATTTAAACTAAATTAACAGCTTCTTGTCACTACTAGTAAGGCACCTGTTACTATTAGCGTGGCACTTGTTTCTAATAGCTTCTTGTCACTACTAGTAAGGCACCTGTTACTATTAGCGTGGCACTTGTTTCTAATAGCTTCTTGTCACTACTAGTAAGGCACCTGTTACTATTAGTAAGGCACTTATTTCTAGTAGCAAGCATTCGAGTCATTGTTCACCCAAAAGAACATGTAAGCAGCCCCCAAAATCCAGCAGAATGAATATAGGGCTAATGCAACTAAGATGCTTTGGGCGAAGACTTTAAAAAGGCAACTGAGGAGTCAGTGCGATGTTGGGTCGCCAAAGCCCTGAGAAGCAAGAAACTTGGGAAAGCTTTGTGAAACACTGAAACCACTCCGCCGTGTTTTTTGGGCGGCGAGATCTATTGTTGAAACCTACATGACGTACAAATATGAAAGACATGTTAAAGCTGTAATAAAACTTGAATTTTGCTAAGTGTTCTTTCAACACCGCTCGCTCATATGCATGTTGTTTATTCTTTTTTGGCCTCCTCGACTTGCTTTGTTTGCTTTGTGTTGTCCATTGCAAGCAACAAAAATAATGACACATCAGGTGCAATTGATTCATCAATCAAGGAAAATGGGACGAAGCGACGCCTTTCCGGTCATTTTTGTTCTTTCCTATCGCGAAGTCCTGTCTTTCAATCGTATGAGCCCGAGTTCCACTTCCCACTTCTGGAAGTAAAAGGAGTTTCGTCCAAGGTCACTTTTCTGCCAGCTGTGGATTAAACAATGGAAACAACTTTGCGAACTCACTGCCTGTCTGTCCCCCCTCCGGCCGTTCTGTTTCCTCACTCCAAAAAGAAGGCCCGGTCACGCAACCCGAAGATCGACCCGTCGATCGGTTCGATCAACGATCTCGGCGGACAGCTATAGGCTATAGGGGCTCCTGGCCTTATTACTAGGAACAAGAAGCTATTAGGGGCTCCTGGCCTTACTACTAGGAGCAAGGACGCTACTAGGGGCTCTAAGCAGAAAGCTCTAGGGGCGCCCCGGCATCTCGGAGCTCGCCCTCCGGGGCTTGGACTCGGTGCTGCGGCGACCGGCCGCGCGGTTGAAGGGCGTCGACGTCGGTGGGTCGGTCGCCATTTCTTTTGGTGGAAGAGTGGCGGTTAGGGGGGTTCGTCTCTAGAATAACATGAAGTAATTAGACCTTTATTTATTTAAAGGAATGTCTTAATGTAGACTGTTGCAATGAAAACAACAATAACACATGAAAAGGTTGACGATCCAAATGGGATGGTTTAATTGATAGACAGTACTTTAAAAGGGCAAAGATCTTCAGCCCACTTCAAAACCCCGGGTCCTGGGGCTCGCCACATCTGCCCATTTCACCACCTCAGCGCCCAGCTACCATCTACGGAGGTCGAGCAGTAGCTGTCTCTTTGACTCGAAACAACTGCGATGAGTTTTCTGGTGTTTTTTTGTCCCCAGATCATCCTTTAATCATTTTCATAGGGTAAATGTATGCAACTATTCCAGTCCCATGGATGGTCTGGGTTTGCAAAACTCTTGCGGTTTACAAATTTGGTCCATGTTTCATGTTTCTACATCCCCGAAGCTCAGTAAGAAATTGAACTCCTTTTTGTTCACTGCAGTATGACACAGTACACATATATAATCATATATATATATATTACATATATATATATATATGTGAATGGTGTGGGTGAGACTCCACCAGTCCTAGTCATCAATCGGAAAAGAAGTCGCTTTACCCATTGGTCTCCGTGCTGAAACATGTACGCCCAAATCACAGAATCGCACGTTCTGCACGTTTTTTGACCACCAGTTTCACGGCTACAGTCAAGGATACCTTTCTTTCTTGGTGTTTTTCGAAGTCGGGCATGGGGGTGTTCATCAGATCTTCCTCTTCTGGAGCGTACACATGCATCACTCACATGGACTCCGACTCTCCTATTACAGAAGTGGATGGCATGGGCCATCATGGACCCCTTGAACTCCCGAAGATTTTCCAGTGAGAAACGGGAAATCCATGCCGTTTTTGTTTGTGGATAGTGGATAGATCCATGTTTCATGTGCCATCCCAGTTTCTTCATGGCATGCTTGGCATCCACCAAGCCATCCAAGGGGGGACAGCTCGCCATCGTTGGTGTTCTCCCATTCGTTGCTGAGTTTGAGCCTTCAGAGACTCAGTTCTTCAAGGGACTCGGGACTCAGGGTGAGGACGATGAAGTCAAAACTGGGGACGAGGGTTCCACCCAAACGCTGCGACTTCGGACACTGGATGAGGGCTCCTTTGTTTTCAAGTCTGCTTGGAGCAACATGTAACATGGAGGATGAACCATGATGAACCCCTGGAGTTGCTGGGGGTACTTGTAAGCTTCAGAAAGCAGTGAGATGTGGTGTCCCATAATATAGATCGATATACTATATATATATATATTATATAAAGAAATACAGATAGGTTGATTGATTGATAGATTGATAGATAGAAAAAAGACAATGGTTTCGCATACTAGTTGCACAGCCTCAGCAGGTAAGAATGGTCAAAGACGAAGCCAGTCCTAGTTTTCCGCCTTTGAGGCTCCCTTGCACAAAGAATGGCACGAGAAACGCAAATACTTGGTCAGTAGAGAAGTGACACATGCGTCATTCGACATTCGCAAATCTTTAGGTAGCCAATTGAATGTTTTGTTGGAGTCAGTTGTGGACTTTGGCTGCTCATCCTTTGTTTGCTCCAAGTGGGTTTTTGGTTCCTTCATGCTGTTCTTGGGCTCATAGCCATTACGTATCATTCCACTTGATCTATTTTGGAAGTCAAGATGACTCGAAGATTGTCGCTTCCCCATGCTGCACTCCTTCCGCAGTTTGCCTTCTACCCAGGACCGATGAGTCCTTCCACCGCCGAGCCCGATGCGAGAAGGACCGCCGAAGCCGGAGCGACCGAACGCGCGGCTTCGCCACCGGCGCGACCTCAACTACACCGAAGCGAGTCTTTGGAATTTCCGGGATCCACTGGTGGTTGTGGTCAGAGTCATAGTGGATACGGCGCTTATTTGATGGAGGGGATCTAGAATCTTGGATCATCAACTATATCCAAAACCGTTTTTTACCGGTGCAACATGTTGCCATCAAGGGTAGCAGTCAAGGCCAAAACACATAAGCACCAGCACAGTAGAGAAGAATCCAACGACGTAGATATGATATGTCCGTACTGCAGATATATATATATATATCATATATATATATAATAATAGTAATAGTAATAATTATATTTATATATTATTAGTTAGTTTATGTTCTACGTGTTGGTTTCATTTAGGGTTGCGGGGTGCGTCACCACCATTACTGTAACGCTACAAGCCCCTCAGAAAGATAATACATATTATGTAAGACCTGTAATATTGTCTATATGATGTATTATCCATCAAAGAAGTAGAATGTCAACAAGCTTGTGTTACGGGCTTTAGACTGTTTACGCCCCTGGCCCCTTGTAAGCCGCTGCCAGAGTTGCTCCGACAGATGGTCGTGGCTTGACGTGCAACGCGACGATTTGATGTTTGGAAATATATGTAAACTTTGCTTTCTTGTACATAAATATATATACGTATATATATATATCTATAGACGTGTCCATGTTTCCGTACTTTTCCCTTTCTGTATTTTCCTCCAAACAATTTAACATTCCGGTAATTACTTCTTCTACTGTATACTTGTTTATATATATATATATGCACATTGCTTTCTTGTGTAGTGCTTTCTTGTCTTTCGTCTAGAGTCTAGAACCTTTTCTTTCGCTGAATCAGCCTTGCCAATGTATTTGTCAAACCTGCACTTGCATTCCCCGAACTGCAATCCTGAGAGCCCAATTATTTGGCCGCCACTTTGAGACGACGGACATAGGGAGTTGGGTTGGCCGTAGTTTGCAGTGTCAATTTGTTTGTCAAGTTGTACATGTTAAAGCTCAGAATATCTTCATGCTGTATTACCACCTTGGGTTGGATTTGTCATGTGGATCCCTTTCGGGCCTTTGGGAGAGGTTTGTTCACATTGAAGCAAGCCAACCGGAATATACACAAATGTTCCAACACATGTGTAGTACAGAAATCTGGCCGTCGCTAGTAGGTTGGAGGCCATCGCTAGTAGTTACATGTTGTTTGACCAACCAGTTTATCGTTTTAGTCCCGGTCTAGACATGTGACAGGAGATTCAGGTGGATCTCGATGTCACGACCAAGAGCACCAGCACCCAAAACGTTCAGACAGAATTCACTGTGATCGAAGACGACTTCCATTGCAACTTGCAGAGAGATCAGATGATCAAACACTGATCGCGCTGAGGTTTGCTGGGAGTTTGCACGTGTTCTAAAATGTGTCTCTAAGACACAGCTAACAACATGCACAGGATTTGCACTTTGAGAAAGGTCCCTGGTGATGTGATAACGATCTCACACTGATTTGGCCAGGTAGGCCATCCCTGGGAGGTAGGCCATGCTTGGTGACAGAAGACTTGATGTCCGAAGGTCCAGAGTGACAACAGAAGGATTATATTTCATAGTGTTTGGTATAATTTGCTGTAGTTTTGTTTGCATGTGTATATATATATATATTATATATATAGAGAGAGAGACTTGATGGTCCAATTTCTGCTTGAAAGCCCTCTATGCCATATGCAGTGTTCGTATGTTTTGTCCTCCAATTTTATCCTGCTTGCCAATGTGGCCATGATTTGTCAGACCTATCAAAGAGGAAGGAAGCATCTCAAGCAGTCCATGCGCACATCGCTGATGTTGTTCTGCTTGCAGCTAGGAAATGTACTGTACATGTTTATACTCGCTGAAGCCTTTCTCTTGCTGAATCATTGTGTGCACAAATAAAGAAACCTGTTGGAAGTTTCTACCAGCTGTTGCCCACCCGCTGAGGCTACCATTGCATGTATTCGCGTCCACCCTTGGAAAGATCGCGTAGCCACATGACGGCAGCTTACACCCGCCGCCTTCGGGGCACTCGTTCGACCCGTCGAGTCTGGGTGTTTCCGGAGCCGCATCGGCTGGATGGAGGGACGATGGACACTGAGGGAACGGTTGCCTCGTACGTCGGAAGCGGAAGCAAAGCACTGAGCCTGCCGTGATGAAATTAAGAATAATGATATGAATATACAGGAGCATCCAAATTGATCAGACATCTCATATTGATTTTGTACGGATTATACGTACACGAACATTCATCCTTTTCGCTTCACATCTCCGTTGACCTCTCGGGCATACCGGACCACCGGCTCGTTGCAGGTCAGTCGACCACCTCCTCAAGTAGTGGCTCACTGGCCGGCGATCCTGCCTTCCTCATCCGGGGCGCGCAAGGCACGGTCCGAAGACATGGAGATGATGTTGGGAAGGAAGACATGGAAATACATGGAACTGAGGTGGTTCTTTCCAAGGTCGGGTGCAGTAACTACTGCAGCATTTGTCAAAACGTGTTGGGGGTAGAACAGTTGAACACCAGCTGCAGCTTCTGGGATCAGGTATATTTGTCCAGAGCTTTGCATTTTTTGTTGCATGAAAGACGGCTGGACCGGGTGCCGGTGGTTTCTGATTTGGAGAGCTTGTGGACCTGATCTAAAAAAAAACTACCGAGCTGCCTTTGTTTGGCACTGAAGGCTTTGGGATGTTTTGAATGCCGAACTGCCGACACAGAAAACGCACGTCAGACGAGTGCATGAACTTGAAATCCCTATGTGCTTGGGCGCTCTACAGTGTACTCTACAGCATCAAGCGTGTTGGTTTCATATCCTCCATGCATGGAATAGTGACTACACCCTCTTATGTGACGACAACACTGAAGCCACAAATAGAGAAATTCCATAAATGGAAGGCTTGGGGTAGGGTTGTCCAAGAAATATCCCTTCGACCCTCTTCTGCTCTACACATGGCTCGGGAAGGCGGAGTAGTGTCGGGTCAGCACTCCAACTTGGAAATGTGGATCACGGTGTCATACGGTATCATTGAGTTTTACATGGAACATGGAACTAACATGGAACATGGCCTCACAGTGTCCAACATGATCTACAAAACAGATTGTTGACTCCACTTCCATATGATACCTATCCAGGTTTCGTTCCTCCGCACGTGGCTTTCGTTGCTCCGGTCGCTTTGTAGGTCGAAACCTGGCACAAAAACGGCGGCGGAGCTCCGTGATCAACCTGCGGAGGGCCACAGAAGAGTGCCTCGGTTAGAGCAGGTCAGGTCCGCAAAAAAAGACAAAACAAGGGCAGGCCACTCATTTTGAACACAAGGGGATGCCACTCAGATCACGTGGCATCTCTTTTTCCTAGACTTGCCAAGCCCAATGGCTTTGCCTGGCTGGGCCATTCACCAATGACTTAGAATTACTCGAGGTGGCCCAGAAAGTAGATCAGGTTGATGAAAAGCCGGAACAAAGTGGATTGGGAGGATAGGATCGATGATTGCTCTCCAATAACTCACCATCAAACTACCAAGGCTAGACATCGTTGCTTACTGCCACCATATGCTTCAGGGCTGGGTTGGGCCAAATTAATTGACTAAGCGCTTGGTAAGGGTAGCAGTTAGTAAAGCATTTAGTATACCATTCCTGGAAGTTGGTTTGGGAATATTTGTTTTCAATGTTTTTCCATCGAACGCCAATGGCATGAGCAACGATTGACAGGACCATAGGATGAGGGATAGTTCAACTTAAGAGTTCAAAGGTGGTGAAGAGAAATAACATATACTTTTTCGAAAAGCGGCTACTGTTGCAGGAATAACACATGGCCAAGTTGATAGGGGGCCTTCATCCTACCCTGACATTGGGTTTTTGGTAAACTTTGTATGGCCTGGTTTGAACATTGCTCGATTTTAGCATGCTTGCTGGCTTATCATATGCCCAGCTCCTGCATCATGGTGCTTCGATCCCAGGTGTCATTCCAGTCCCTTCTTTTTACAATCAGCAGTTTCTCACCCCAACATCCCAGCATGTTTTAGGAATGTTTCATCCATTTGGACTGGGCCTCCGGGCCTGTGAAGGAATGGAAAATCATCTTCAGCCGACCCAGCTCACAGCAGCTTGGAGTTCTGGAATTGCATTTTTAACATATAATAATTCACCTAGCATGATAGCTCAAGCGGCTCAAGTTTCTTACGCAAGAAGTGTTTTTCAAGGGTACTGGTAACTTCCATGTTTATCAAGTTGTTGCTCTTTTGTTTACATACCTTGAAACGTAAACTCCATCCACACCCGCTTTAGAGCAGGGTACGGTGTTTGCGCACGGCCTCTTTCCCAGTTCGCTCAGGATGCTGTCGAGAGTGTGGCAGGGATCTCGGAGAGGGGTCGGTGTGGGATCTGGAGCTGTTCACTTCGCACTTCTGAATCGTGAAGACGAGGCGCTGATCGTTTATTAAGATATATGTTGCTGATCATAATCCTGAAACATGTTTATCGTTGAGGGCGCTTGGAGATATAAATATATATATACATACAGTTTGCATTACACATGAAGATCGACTCCGAGGTGATCAGGGAGATGTTTTTCTTAGTTCTATGGTGGGTATTTTCGCTTTAGGCGAGGCTTATGGCACATAGTCCAGTGGTTTGAGCACCACCCAGCTGGAACCAGGGAGTCAGTTGTTTTTTTTCTACAAGAGGCTTGCTGCATCCAAGTATCCAGCATCATGTTTGCTCTGAGCCATTTGCATCCGGTGTTGGCAGGTAAATCAAATCATTGCAAATGTATTGGAAAAGATGCATGCATATACTGTAGGTGTCGGTTGTAGTTTTGGGGTCTAGGTTTGGACCACATCCATAGATGGGGAGAAGGATGCAACTATTCCAAACACTGCTTATTGATATAAATGATCCAATCCCTAAGCAAATGGATGGCAACGTGCCATTTACTCCATTGCACCAAGAGGATGTTTTGGAGCAACTAGGTAAGTCGATGGAGTTGCAACACAACAGGGCAGGTCTTAGAGAAAAGCGGGTGAATGATTTAGGGCATCCTGCTGTGCTTTGATGAATGACATACTGGTAGCTCCCTGTATCGAGGCTGAAGAGCCCTGGGCGGGACGCAATTCTTCTGTTCTGCGCATGGTTGTTTAATGGGTGGCTGCTTTCAGACCTCTCCGTACCCCGGAGTTTATCCAGTATTCCCCCAAATTCCCCATCAGCATGGTGAATTTGGTCACTTCACTTCACAAGTCAGCAAAAGGACGATCACATTGCTTGCGGGAATCCAGCCTTTCCAATGATCATTCTATATGGGCTCCTGGCATCGCTTCTAGTAACAAGTGCCTTACTAGTAGTAACAAGAAGCTACTAGGAGCAAAGGGCATCGCTACTAGGAGCAAGGACGCTACTAGGGTCAGGATAGGCCTTTCCTTCGTAGCTTTCAGAAACCAATCCAGGTCCGGCGCACACAAGCAGCATGATGTGATGAATCCCGACTTTCTGGACACAGGCGCCCTGTGGTGTTGGAAGCGCAGCAACTGCGCTTTTTGTAAAGAGATCCATCCGAGGAACATGTCGAATCTGCAAGATTCATTTAGTCATTTGGGTCCTTTAAACAGCCAGTGATCATGATTTTGTGTGAAGAGACTTTGGTACTACGTTTGGACCAGATCCTTTCTTCACTCATACAAGATCAATGCACCATGGCCCTGTCGGATTAGAACATGGCCCTGTCGGATTAGAATATGGCCCTGTCGGATGGTCCTTTCTTTGGGTGTGATCTAGGCCATGAGAGACCGACCGTTTCGTCCGAAAGCTGAGTCGGCTTTCCATGTTCATGACGTTCCCCTTCGTTCTTTTGTCGAGCAATTCATGGGGGGCCGACTTCAGTGCCGACCGTGTGCCACGTGAAGCCGAGCGGCCTGGACCCAGACCGACCGTGATTCCTTCGGCGCAGGCGCGAAGAATGTGGTGCGTTCGCTGGCACTGCTCTTGAGGCAATGGAACTTGGAATATCCCGCGAATGTGTGCTGCACCTGGTCTGACTGCCCATGTTTTGAGCGGCATTTGGCTTGTTTGGACTGTCGGTGGCGGTCGGTGTACTTTCTTCGGCGCTCGTTGGAGGGCACTGCCAAGTTTGGCCATTGGAGATATGAACTGTTTGTTCCAAATGTCCCAATGTGGGTCTAATGTGTTTGGGGGGAAGCTGGGCTGGTGAGGCTTCCAACCTGAATGAAGCAGGTGAAACCGGTCAACTGATCACCAAGAGGAGGGATGTGTCACCCTCCCACCGGCCAAAGCGGGGTTCTGTAGATGTTATTTGTGTTTTTTGCTCAGGCGTTTTCCAAATGCGGCATGTCCCCAGCCCTAGGTAAGTACCACGCCGCCGTGAGCCTTGTGATTTTTCTGCTCAACGGAGCAGCTTGGATTGAAACAACGGGTCAAGGGACTTCTGGAGTCGGTGACCCTGAAACGATGCCGGAATCGACGCGGTGACTGGGCACGAGAAAGCATGGAAACGACCGGATCGAGTGAGGGGTACCGGATCCAGTTCCAAGCAAACAGGATCCTCAATGTCAATATATCATCCATTTTGCCCTGGCAGTCTGGCGGTGTTTCACAAGACATAGTGACATGATTCTTTCGATGGACTGTCAGCAACGTCACTGGGGTTCTAGTGCTTGTATGTGTTTGTGCGAGCACTGATTCACCATGATTCAGTCCCAACAATGTTCATCAGTCTGCTTGAATTAAATGTTTATCAGTGTTTGTGAAGGAAGTGTAGGTCCTGGTCGCGGGGGGGGATACGCGACAAAAAAGGGCTTTGTTATGCAACAAAAGGGCTGCATCTGACAAATCTTCCGTACATGTACTTCAGTCATGAGCCGCCTCAAGTATGTCTGATTTGATCAAAACGCAAACCGATCCGTTTGAATCCATGAACGTCTCACCACTTTGGCACCCTAAATGTTACAAAATGAATACTGAAGGTTTTACCACCCAATACTCGTACCACTGTGTCCCTGAATTTCCAGTTCAGGTACTGTAATTATATTGGTAATTAATATAAGATCTCCAGTTTTCTTGGGTCCTGTGAAAGAACGCACGGCTCTGGAGACCAACCCCACGGCATCCGCTTTGGAGACCAGGCCGCTGTCACTGACCCTCCAAAGCGTCCCGGCATCCCGAACCCTTCGCCAAACGACGTGCCTCCGAGGAGCTGCGTGCCAAGTGCAAGAACGAGTGGTGTCTCGGTGGAAGGACTTGATGGACGGGCGGCGACGGTGAGGCAGGTGAAGCAACGACCCGCTTCGACGAAAAACATGTGCGACCACATGAATAATCAAGAAGGTCATAAGAACAATTATATACAAGAACATAAGCACAATTACATAAGCAGATCTACAAATCTCGATCAAAGCTACAGACGTCCTGCCGTGGATCAAGGACATCCTGCACACTCGAGCACTTGCTGCATACCGGATTGAGTTCCGGCACACTCTGGAAGTCTGTTGACTGCGACCTACTCCGATCGAGTATGGACTTGGAGAACTCCCAGAAAATAATGCAACTTCAGGACACATTGACATGTAATCATGCAATTCCAAAGAAACGCCAAGTTCAATTTCCAATAGAAACGGACCATACAATATATAGAGATCACAATATAATTAACAAGCCGTATACAATGCGCACCATATAATACCTATACCCCCTTTGCGATGAGAGAGCTTCGCGTAGAGCCAACGAGCTAAGATGATTTCACGTTCACCTTCTTGGCTCAATTCCTCCATTTATGTTGAATATATTGTTGTTTTGTCTACATTTACCTTTAGTTGGGATATCCTTCTTCTCATGCCATTATTTAATGTTCCTGTTATTGTAAAAGTCCACCTTCCATGCTGGATCGCGTTCCTCCTTGTTTTGCAGGGCCAGGGTGTAGGTAAGAAGGACACAGTTTTCATTGAATATATTCTTTGTGCTGGGCTCTCTATATTCTTAGGCATATGTACATTCATTTGCTAGAATGACGATTTCTTGGCTAAATGGGAAGATAATGCCCCTTCGCATCCAAATGTGTGTTGTTTCCTTTAACAAGTGTTCTTTGCTTACATTCTCACCTTCCTATTTGCTATATAAATTGTTACTGTTCATGTTCCTACTCCAACTCCAGAACTAGATTGAGTGAAGCGCACCCACTTGTTCCTGACATTTACAAAGTGTTGAGTCATGTGTTGGACAAGCAAAACAAGCGAATACACTCCAGTCGGCAAGTTCATGTTTCTCACATATCTTCATGGAGCAGAGTGCCAAGACTCACTTTTACTCAACTCCTTGCACCCATCGCTGTAGTTTCAAGGGCTTAAGCGCTGGCCGCTGGCCTAAGCAATAAGGAGCTGCGGAAGGCCTTTTGTACTGCAGATGCAATCAGAAATGCATTTCACCACAATTCTAAATTCGATGCACGAAAAAACATTCAAATTTTATCTGCAACATACTCCGATCAAAGCCGCGGAGAAACAAGAGGTGAAGATAGGTGAAGCAATTTCAAGCCAGCAAAGCCTTCATTCGTGCTCCGCTCAGTTCTGCAAGGTAGGAAGGGTCAAGGCTATCACACAGGTCACAGCTATCGGCCAGGCAGGCGCCAATTGGATTTGGGTATCCAGTGCTTCGCACGGCCTGACGGCACGATCCAGCTGAGACCAAACCAAAGGAGTCGGGGTCATGGCCCAGGAGTCAGGAAGAAAAAGACCAAAACTTCTGGCTATTGCACATCATTTGTGCCCCAAAAATATTTCTAAGGCCGCTTCTTCTTCGTCTTCTCCTTCTTCATTTCCTGGAGGATCTCGTCCAAAAATATCTGGGCCAACGACTTTGCATCTGAGTGTGTGAAGGCACATCGCGAAGGTGCCGCTCCCAATATTTCAGCAGAGGAAAAAACTCTAAATCTTTTCGTGGCTGTATCGGGCCTTATCGGGCCTGATTGAGGAAACATCGCCAAGGGGAGCTTGACAGCATGACAAGCAAACCGCAGCAATTGATTCAGAATGGAACATAGGACCCCTAGCTGGCCTTGCCCCCCTCTATAAACCACCCTTTTGCGCTTTTGAGACCACAAACAAAGCCCGGTATATCTCCAAGCACTGCGATATCCCTACGGACCAAGTGAAACGTGTATGTCCGGGCAAACCTCCTGCACTGAGAACAGCAGGGTGGTATCCAGAAACAAAATATGCACCTGACCACATCAGCACAAAAAATGGCTGAACATGGTCTAAAGCAAGAGGCTTGAGAAGGGTATCTGCATCCCTTTGCGCTATGGTTTCAACTATAGCCCGTGTCTAGAATTTGCGTTTTTGCAACCAACCTTTGAATTTGAATTGCGTTACTGAACGCAAACGCATCTGCTGTACAATGTGCTGTACAGGAGGCCTTCTGCAGCTCCTTGTAGCTTAGGCTGGTGCTTAGGCCGCTGAAACTAATGGCGGGCATAGCTATGGGTGCAAGGGGCTGAGTAAGAGTGAGTCTTGGCACTTTGCTCCCGTTTTCAGAAGGTTTCCTCTCTATCCTGGCGACAGTGCACTATCGATGTGAGACTCTTTGCCGCTCTTGCCTCGTGGTTGTTTTGATTTCTTACAGATTGTTTTGCTCTTAAAATGGTTTTACACACTTCAGATGTCCTCTCTGATGTCCTCTCAGGATGCCGAACTCGGGCTGGCAATGCGACCATTGCAACATGTTATTTCCAGAGGTGCGGGACTCGACCGTGTCGTGTGACTCCCAGTCTTCGGGTATTGGACTGGGATGTTTTCTGGCTTTGGGTTGACAATGGCTGTTTTCTTCACACGCTTTGAGGAGAATCCTGCTGCACAGCAGGATCTGCAAAGCAACATTGGCATTTTCTCAGTTCTCATTTGAGCATGCTTTCAACCCCTGTTTTCCTCGCTGGCTCCGCTCGCTTTCTTTGACAGGGGGTTTTGGGTTCTCTATGGAAGACCGAATCCCGCCGGAACTGTTGGCATACCTTTCCTTCTGATGTTGATTTTGGTAGAGGTGGCCACCATGTTCCTGCTTCGTCTTTTATGGCTTACCCACGCAGTGTTTGAATGCCTCGCTTCTGCCGGTTCCTGTCCATTGTTTCTAAAGGATTGAGTCTAAAGGATTGATTCATCACATCCGTGTGGCGGAGGAATCCTTGTTTGTTTGTTTTTTTTAAGACTGGGCATATGAATACCAAACACTTCACGTGGAAGTTGGATCATCACATGTTTGGAAGATACACCTAGAGGTCCCGTGACTAGCAACGTGTGCTTTGCATTGTTTCCTCAACCAGAGTTGGGACAGCAAGCATTATGTTTATTGAATGCTATTGGTATCTGCAGTATTTGCCTGCATGTGGTTGGAGAGCAGCGACCACCTACGAGGAAATGAACAACCTGTCCTGGAAACTGAATTGTGATCATTGTTTAGCTTGCTGAAATACCATGCACCGAATCTTTTATAGATTGCTGATGATATTTGTTTGTATGTGTATTGTACGTGTGGTGCCTTATTCTATTGCATGTACTTTTCTTTTGTGTTCCTTCGCAGTCTCAGTGCCTCACTCACCAGTCTCTCGCACCGACACAGACCGCACAGACACATGAGGACGTCGAACTTTGCGCCTTTTGTGCCACGGACGACATTGAACAGGCGCACCGCGTCACCCGCGACGTGCACGTATTGGGGGTGCGTGTGTGCCGGTCGGGGTGCCGCGAGCAAAGAAGCCGGACTATCAAATCAACTGACGCAGTTGAATGACTTGAACTCTTGACGAACGAACAATCGAACTGGAGATCTAGAACCTGATGCTCCGGTTCAACTCGATAGAGTTGTTGATTTTTCAGACTATATATTGATATTATGTACTATATGAGACTTGCGAATGCACCGGAAACCGGAAACACAACTCCCACTATTCCGGCAAGTCTGGTTCCGGCAAATCTATGCAATATACCATATACCCGGAAGACTTGGGCTTCATGTTTTTTTCCGCATGCCGTGACACTCAACGGTGCGCTGCTATCTCTCCGCGGTCGGGTGGGTGTTGTCCGAAGTGCCGCGAACTCCAGAGTTTCACCGGTGAATGTTCGGTTCCAAAGCAACCTGGGTGAGCGATGATGGGTAGAAAATGATGGAACTATGGAACATGTATGAACTTGTCGCTTGTGATTTAATGGAAACGATCCTGGGCTGGTTGACTCAAAGCAAAGCTGCGGCCAAGCCGCGGAATTGTGTTTGGACATGTGATGAGTCGGGCGAGCTTCCGAGACGAATTCGGTTTCTAATGTTCCAACAACCTGAGAAATCACAAAATCATTAGGTTTTAGGCTCAGGGGTTCTCACACAACTGTGGCTGCATTGCATTCGAGACTTGTGTCCTGTATCTGGCATCCAGTACCTTTGGTCACCCAGGGGTTTGACACTGTCAGGAGGCGGAGGAGCTGCCTCCAGAGTTCCTTGAGCACTTGGCTGACTTGGCAGGACTGTGGCGTTTTCACACGCCATGTCGCGAGCAGGGCAGGCATCACATGAAATCAAGAGAGACGACACTAGTGTTTGGACTGAGAGACCCATGGCGGTCCAGGGGGCGAGGAATTCCCTTGAATTGGACGCCCAGCGAGCCAGTACCCTAATAGTCCTTCAGCGTTTTGGATTGATCACACTTGTGTTGTGTCACATGTGTCACCATCTTCAGTGGCAGAAGCTTTAAGGGATCGTCTTAGATTTCGAGAACCACAACGACGTTTATATAGAAACCAGGACCCGTTTCAAACCACTGCAGTTTGAGAGCCTGCAACATCAACACGAGAACAAGACAGATTGGTAGACTCTTGGTTTAGAAAAACATCTGGATTGTGGAACCTCTTCCTATATGGGTGATGTCATTATACGGGTGAGTCTAAGGCTTGGAAGAACCTGATTCATTTGGGGGGGCTCACGCACCCGACGTGCGCACGCCGGAATCTGCCAGTCTTTGGAGGAATCCGTCCACAGACGGCACCGCAAAGCCTGTGACGGCTGAGGCGTTGAGGGCGCTGACCTACTAGCTTCTTGTTACTACTAGCGATGGCCGGTGGCCTCCAACCTGGTAGCGATGGCCTCCAACCTACTAGCGATGGCCTCCACCCTACTAGCTTTTCTTCCGATGACGTCTCTTGACGACAGCTCGTAGGCGTGTTTTGGTTGCCTATTGGCTCTTGACTGTACCTGCAACGAAGTGCCAATTTTCCATCATGTTCCATCCGTTTTCCTGCATCGGGCCACACAGAAGTTCTTGCGCAGTCTAGCCTTCTTTTGGCTCCAGTTAACGGCTTCCCACCGCCAGTCGACAGTCAACTCGTTGTTTCTTTGGAGCTGGTGTGCAAAGTCAATGACCTGAAGGGTCTTAAGATATCTTAAGTCTTAAAAGGACACGGACAGCCAGCACAAGCCAGAACTCAGAACTGGGCTGGGAGCAGCCGGCGCCTCTCCTCCATTTGACTTGGATGGTGGTTTCACCATGTTTTACATTCATATTACAGTAATATACAGTAGCATTATGGTCTATAGGTTCCTTTTCTATCTCAAATGACTTATGTGTTTCAGGTGAGTTGACAGACTTGGCCGGTGTGTCGACTTCCCTGCCTGACCAGCAGCTAGCAAGTTACTTCATGAAGTGGGGTCTTTTGTGGTGATCACTATATACAGTTGCTCCTAGTATCCAAAACCTTACCCGCGCCCCACGATGGGTTATTACATTCCGCGAGCGGGTGTGAAGAGAGAAATCAACCTGGGGGGAGGACATGGGTCAACTCAAAATAGTCACTGGCCTATACATGGTGATTTCCCAGATTGGTCTTCGGGCCTCCAAGACCGATGCCAGTGGTGTGTCATGTGGTATCATTGCAGGCGAAACAGACATCTGAGATGAGGAAATTTGGAGCCACAACATGTGTTCAATGGCGGCTTAACCGAACTGGTTCACGCCACGCCATGCGATCATCCCCTTGTTCCTAGTAGCTTCTTGTTAGTAGCGATGGCCTCCAATAACCTACTAGTAAATGGGCAATGGCCTAACTGTTTTCACGCCGGATCCACCAGAAAGGGAACTATGGATGGCGTTCCGTATACCAAATTAGGGACGTTCCGGGCATAGGATATTCCGGCCAAAGGTTTTGTCCTAGCTTTGTGTTATAATACTCACGGCAAATCCCTATTACCAGTAACATCCAATTACCAGTAACATCATTGTGTGAAAGGTCTTTACTAACCATCATCATCATCTACTGTTACTGCCACTAGACGTTTGTGGGCACAAAACATGCCTAGATAAGATGCAATGCGGAAACAAATCCACTGTTACTGGTCATGGGATGTGATTTGATTGATATGATATGTATATATAAAGTACAATATAAGATATATATATATATATATATCATAGTTGTTTTTCTTGCGCCACCTGTATGTAGGGTGGGTGAAGTCTTGCGAAGTTTGGACACCGAAATGCGAAGTCGGGGACCACACATCGTCAAAGCCGAAGGAATCGTCTCCAGTTGGAACATATTGAACGCCTAGAGGCCACAGTTTTTGTTGGGATGACCCGCGGACAGTTTATTGGACATTGCGAATCGAGTTGGGAATTACCTGTGTTTTGACAAGATTAGACTGATTATGAGAGAGTTCTACATGTCGTGAAGATTGTTTGATATGGCGACGCTGAAGTTTCAGCCCATGGGTCCAATGCCAGCATGGGTTTTCCTCGGGGCAGCTCCCAACAGTTTGTATATACTTTCTTCGCAATGGTACACTTTGTCGATGTCTGTCGTATTTGATGCGAAAAGATTTGGGGGGCGCGACCCTGAAAGCGTCAGCCTGGAGGTCCTTCGGTGGTCAATTTTATGAGGAGTGTTTCTTGCTCATCATGTGTCTTCTCTTCGTTTCAGAATGGAGGAACACCCCAGAATGGACTGCCATAGGGAAATTGACTTATCCCAAAAGGACGTTGCAGTTTGCAGACAAGACTCACCACAGATGATCCGTTCAAGCTGATAGTCAGGGTCACTGACAGAACTTGCTGCAAACACTCAGTTTTTCAAGTTTGAAAGTTCTGGAAGGGCACATGAATCCTGTAGGACCTCGTGTGTCCTTTCAGCATCGTGCTGGAGCCTAGCTTTCAATTGCCAGAGGTCCTTCCCTGTCCGAGAAAGATGTGTGACTGTGTGACATGGACTTCTGAAGAGCTGCATTATCAGGAATGGTGCTTTGATGGCCGGGAATGGCCATGCGGGGTTTGCAATCGTCGGGTGTTGAAACGGTTAGAGGAAGTTCCTCGAGAGCCTTCCAAGGCTCTTCCCCAATCCTCGGGACGGTTCTTATGCCAGCTGAGATTGGGGGAGTCTTGTCCTGGCTGACCCCAAGATAAACAGAAGGCCTTTACTTCAAGAACCCTAAAGTTTACGCTTCTTACTCTGTTCCAACATGACACTTGCGGTCTACAGCGGATCGGATTAACACGTCCATTTTGCGTGGCAGGTACAGCACGGTCAGATTTCCACACCCGTTTAAATTTATAATATTTATAAGGCTTTCAGGTGTGGAAATCTGACCGCAACTGAGGTGTCGACATGTTGCACGTAGGATTCTAAGGGGAAAGGGTTTGTGATGTTTTAGAAGTCAAGAAGCGCAACTTTTGGCACCCCAGTGTAGCGTGAAGATGTGTTCTCATCCGCTGTTGTCTGTTGTAAGTTTTCTTTCCTGGGGTTCGCTCTTGGCCATGTTGCTGCATTAAGAGGTGCGGTGGTCAAAATGTGCATTTCCATGCGTTTGTTGATCACACAGAGCTGATTCTGCAGTCTTTCTTTCATTGTGTGGCCAAATGTCAATATGTTGATATTTGCCATTGCAACAAAACACATATACTACAGTGTCTACGGACCATGACCAATTTTTAACTGTATGAGCAAATTAAGGGGTACGGAAATTTCCTGCAGATGTATTGTGAAGATTTGACACGACCAGGACCCAAGAGGTGTCTATCAAAAGACCATCTACTGTATCATGGTCCGAAAACTATGACGACCCAAGCGGGTTCTGACACCTTGTTGAATGACGGACGTGGTCGGTCTTTGTTCCGTGACCCCAGGGCATCATTTGCCATTCTTGTTCATGGAGTTTGGTGCGTCCTTATCAAGCATCATCATCCACTGGGGTGCTGGAATATGTAATACGTAATTACAGATGCATATGTGTAGTCATGTGTATATATATATAAATATCATATGCAGCAGAGAGAGAGAGAGAGAGTGAGAGCAATATTGAGATGACTGTTTGTTTCGCAGAGGGTTGACATTGTTAGCCGCTATGACCAGCATGATCTGGCACTTTTGAAAGCTAGAAGCTGCAGGGTTCTGCTTGCCCAACTTACTCGTTGTGAGTGGGTTTGCACATTGGAACCAAACGAGGCAGTCAATGATGTGCTATGCAAGGTGTCAGTGTAAACGTTGTAGCAACATCGTCAGAAAGTTTAACCTCAACTTCTATTGACATCAAACGCGTTGTTTTGTTGCTTTTTCTTTCAGGCTGTCCACTATTTCAAGCATTTTCAAGCATCACTATTGACGAGCCTGGGCTGACGTCCCTGGCACAAATGGAAGAAGCGATTTTCGATCATCCATGCGCCAGAGGTGCTCTGTGGATTGGTTTTGCTTCGACAATAAGTGGACCTAGGCTGTTGCATCAGGCAATGTGTCTCCAACATCCTCACCCAGAGACCCATGCTTTGTCGGCCAAAAACAGTTCCACATCCAGTCCCGCGGCGGGTGGAAATCAAGGGGCTTGGACGGAGAAACGAGGTCAAAGAAGGGCCCATATCCAGAAGACTTGGTGACTTAAGTGGTTTATCTTCCTCAAAAGGCTGCTCAGAATGGAAACTTTGGACTTGCGTTGATCTGACATAGCTGGATTGGAGTGACGTTTAGTACCGGAATAGTTGAACAGGTCTTCAAGACATGTGTGAGTAGGTTCTTCTCAAGTGAGCAGGTCGCCTTAAGAAAGAAGATGGGACTAATCCTGGTAAGTGTTCGTAGCCATTTGAACACTTGGGTGTTGCCTTATTCCCGTCCCACTTTAACCTTCTGATTTGGGTTGATTGAAACGAGGGTAAAGCCTCCGTCCGTGCACCCACCCATGATATCCCACAGCTCTTCCATCAAGCCATAAGTGATCATACAATATCATGTGTATTGATCAAAAGTTGTGGCCAAAAAGTATCAAAGCGTGTGTGGTCACAAGCCAAGCCAAACAATCACCTTGGTATTATTCTTTTGTTGGCGGACAGGGAGCTTCGACATGGTACTATTTGATTTTCTTTGTAAAGGGGATCTTCTTTCCGTTGTGCCAATTGCTGCAAACCAAGCCAGGCAGCCAGATGACGTGGTCATGTGCCACATGTGTTTGTTCGCACTGAAGATATTCGATGACCTGGTCCGCTGCATTCGTTGAAGGCATCGTTTGTGAAATGGCGTGAAATGGTGCTTCATCCCCCGGCATCCCAGGCCATGGTGGTAATGATATATATATATATATATATATAATAGGTGCATCAATAATGGATTCAATAACCATGATAAATAGTTGTGTTGCGTTTGTTTATGTAATGGGTTATATAACATCTATACATATATATTTATATATATGCATCATTCATAGTTTTTATATGTTTTTATTTTGGGATCTTTCGCTCAGGAACACCAACCTGGGCATCCAAGGCCGGTCCAAACCGTTGTACTTGCAGCGAGTCAGCGACTGTCAGCAACTGCCGCCGTGTCCTTGTTCAGAACTGGCCATGAAGAATACAGAGGAGTTCAACATGTAAAGACATATTGTGTAAGCAGGCCAACTTGGAAATATTCTGGAATTGTCGTAGCAAACTATCTCGAACCAGAAGATCAGAATGATGACCTGGTCAGCAACAGGATTGTCTATCACGCCACACCAAGCCTCCCCCTTTCTGTTGCGAAGAAATACTGGTTGAA